GCAGCGTGCGGCGGACCGGCGCCGGGCTGACAGGCCAGCGCAGTGGGGCGCCCGACAGAGGGTGGGAGGATTAGACTGTAACGGGTCAGATCAGTGGTCAGAGACAGCCACTGGTTAGAGACAGTCGCTGGCCAGATACAGCCACTGCAGTGGTCAGAGGCAGCCATTGATCAGAGACAGCCAGTGGCCAGAGACAGCCACTGCACTGGTCAGACAGTCATTGATCAGAGACAGCCAGTGGTTAGATACAGCCACTGGTTTGAGACAGTCTGGTTAGAGACAGCCGCTGATTACTCTTCAAAGGCCAACTGACATGACATGCATGTCATTGACAAAAGACAAACGATCACTAGGTATCCATGGAGCTGGCTGACGAGTTCGGTTAAAGACAGTCACCCGAAGTTCCAACTCAGGTCAGTCAGTCAACTCAGGTCAGTCTGAAATTGTAGAGGAAAGAGATGCCGTCGCTATCCTCAGACTCTGCTCTGAAGCTCTGGTGGGAAGGCCCTGAGGCAGCAGACGTGCAGTGGGCGGCAGTGGACGGCCGAGCCCAGGGCCGGCCCGGGAGGAGCCACCTGAGGACCCATCGGCTGCAGAAGACCACTCCGACCCGGGAGGAGCCGCCGCAGACCGGTCTGAGGACCTGTCGGCTGCAGCAGACCCCTCCGGCCCGGTCAGGCGGGCCGTAAAAATGACCGCAGACCGGCATCGCACGGCTTATTTGAATTAGATTAGATAAATAAACACGAGTGTATGGCGAGCGGCGAGGAATGGCCTGCGCGGAGCCTTGTAGCCACATGACATACCACCCGAGCGGCGGGCGGTGTCCCCTGCCTGCCGCTGTGTCCCCGATAACAGGGAGGAGCGGTGCAGCGCGGCCGTGCAGTCCGTCAGAGCGGGGTGCACCACAGAGGCTCGGCGAACCACCGCCGCCACAGCGAACGGAGAACAGCAGGGCTCGCTACAGACTGCGACGCAGGCCACGCGAGTTATGGTGATGTCTGACGCAAAATGTTCATGACTTATGCTATGAACGCCTCCCGTCTTACGTCAGACTAGATCCACTCTTCCTCGTCCCAACTGAATCGTCCCCTCATGTTCTGACAGTAATGAGTAACGTTTCCTGAAGTTCCAGCTGTATTGTACCATGAAGCTTGTGCAATACCAATAGATACTAGAAGAGCATGTCTGTCAAGTCAAACTTCGCTTTGTTTTCCAGAGCTACCTGGGTTTTGGATTTCCTTTCCTTGTAATTTTGCCGTCACCATTCGGCAATCACTTTCCACCTGGCAATTCAGTTCCCCCCGCACCATCTGATATCTGATCCAGTCGCCTCCCAGCTCCGTCTTCAGTCGCCTCCCTGGCGCCGTCCTCAGCCTCCTTTCCGGTCGCCTCCCTGTCGCCGTCCCCCTCCATCCCCCGCCGCCGTGTCGCCGTCCCCCTCCGTCCCCCGCCGCCGTGTCGCCGTCCCCCGCCGTCCCCCTCCGTCCCCCGCCGCCGTTCTGTCGCCGTCTCCGATAGCGTCGCCGATCGCCCAAACAGCGTCTCAGTCGACTGAGAGCGCCGCTGTGCGGCTCTATCGGCGGTTTCACCACCAATGACGTGCTGACCGGCCGGATCCGAGGGATGACTGGACCGACGTCAGTCGCCCCACGGCTTCCCACTAATCTCCGCATCATGGCCGCTCCAGCAGGCCCGCAGAGTCACAGTCGCAGCCGGTATATAGAACAGATAACTGGGATCATAGGCGATATTAGTAATAGACAGGAGTGAGCGCATCTTTCTCTAATAACCTAAACCATCTGTTCCTACTTGCAGTCCCGTCTTACCATAGGTCGTCCTATAGCAGTCCTTCAGAAGCAGTAGTTCGTTATAGAAACCAGCATCGTCACCGTGCTCGCTCTCCGAAAAAGTTATTGTTTTCAGCAATGAATACCGACGCAATTGATCTTTCAGGTATATTGTATGCATTGCAGCAATCCGGACGCTATTTCATGAATGAAAATCCGTTTTGTTATTCATTTCAAATGCTGCTAGCGTGCAGCGAATGTCACAGCGCCATAGAACGTTTTCTCCGTATGAAGGGGTTAGAGAAACCCTACCAAATAGTTGTCCGTAGTAATAACGCCTTAAATATCAGTAGTCATCAGTTATGACCAATTATTCTTTTAATAACTTCAATTTTCAAGTTAAGTAGACTGAGAAGTGCACAAAGAGGTAAGTATAAACCAACATAACCATTTTTAAAGTGACCATTCCACCTTACCATTAGTTTTGAGCTGAGAGAGTTAAAATGGGGTCCAGCTGGCTTGCACTTACCGGTTTGGGCACTCACAACATCGAGAACTGCATTAATTCTGAGATATCTTATTTCAAACATGCAGTTTTCAGATTCTAGCCCTAGAATCTGCATTCAAATATAATAATATATATAATCTGCATTCAAATATATATAAATAAATTTAGCATTCAAATGCATTAGCCCCCTGGGGCTAATGCATTTGAATGCCCCCTTAGAATTTGTGACGTCAGCGGAGATACGATTTTTAAATCTTTTACTAAAACCACCGGTAAAACGTGCAGTGGTATGTATACAGGTATATACCTACTGTAGGTAGGTACATACTGTTGCGAGCAACATCTGCCGTACTTTTAGGATGCCAAATTATTGCTTCCAAATGACGTCGTAGGAACAGCGAAGGTCCCAAAAAAGAAACGAAACTAAAAGTAGGTATAATATCTTGAAAACTAGTGAATATTTTTTCGGTGAAATTTGGTAGATATTCATTTTGATCTTTCTGAACCACGGGATATCACTTCTATGTCAACTCATGAACTTTTTTGAGGGTGGGAGCGTCCCTTTAACAAGATTTTTTTTAAAAGAAATTTTGTCCGAATATATAAATGGTTGGCTATGGGCCCGGGTGCCCCGCTAAGCAGTGCTTATTGCGAATGACATCACGGACCCACCTTGCCCGCACCCGGTTCACCGGTGATAATTCGGATCGAAAGTTTAACGTGCCGCATGACTCATTTCGTCCAAAAAAGTAAACGTGTTATTTCTTACCAAACTAATCGCTGATATTTTCTTATTACGGAGCGAGCGAAGCGAGCGTAGTCTTTCCTTAGATTAACGGAAATTTCTGAGTATGAGCGGCCGGCCGGCCCACGCTTTTGCGAGGCTTATATCTCAGCAACCACTTGACCGATTTACATGCGGTAATTTTTGTAGGGTAGCTTCATTCCTTCTACCAAGTATTGCACTATTCCCGATGCATGTGGGTGACCCCTTATGCACGTGCCACTGCCACGTGCAAAACCAAGAGGTGTCACTTTTGTAATATACATTCTTGGACGATACCGCGAAAACGAAATATTTCCATCGAGAGTTTTCAAAGGATTTCATGCACGAGGCCTTGGCCGAGTGCATGAAATTCTTTGAAAACTCGAGATAGAAATATTTCGTCGCGGTAGAGTCCTAGATATTATTTCCTGTATGTTTCTTAATATCGTTCGTTATTTGCTTAAAAAAGGCCGAAATATGCTTAAATAAAATACAGTAACATTAACTACACGTTAAATACTGAAATACTGGCAGTATTACTTACAGTATTACTTACAAATTACTTAGTGAATGAGTTCAGCAAAACTTACAAATTTTCTTTAAAACAGAAGCCCTCGGTGAAATCAAGCTATCCAAGAAAACCATCCAAGAAAACGTCTCGCGCAAAGTTTCTTGGATGGCTGGATTGCATTGCAAGACTGCCTCAAACATACAGGAATTGTTGCAATATCTCGGTAACTACTGGGCCGATTGCGCTGAGAGTTGGCATGTAGGTAGGCACCCACTAGGCAATGCATATCCATGTGCCAGAGTTGGGGTGCTGCTGCACGTGCGCACGTGCAGGGGTCGTTTCCAGATCTCGAGAACGGCTGGACCGATTGCGCTCAAATTTGGTACACGGTTACGGAGCAGTTAGTAGGGTGCCGTGCACAAGTCAGTTGGGACCCATTTTGCACGTGCGCACGTGCAGGGTGCCGCTTCCAGATCTCGAGAACGGCTGGACCGATTGTGCTCAAATTTGGCACATCGCTAGAGACCGGTTAGTAAGGTGCCGTGCACAAGTCAGTTGGAGGTACCCCCTCGCAATTTCGCACGTGCAAGGCCCACCCTCTCGCTCGCTCCGTTAGTCGCCACAAAAGGCGTTATACTGGTAACATAGCGAGTCTCAAAACAGGTGGCCTTTGCATATTTTAACTTCATTATCAGGTACCTAATGCATTGGTGTTTAGTGTGCGTAGACTGACGGACAAAATCAAACGAGGTGCGCTCGGGTACCCAGTTATCCACACGGTAAATATCACTTGCAAAGAAACTTAAACGTTTAAACGCTCTCGGCTTTGCTCTATGGATCGATATCCAAATAACTGTAGGTTAAATGATGGAAAGACTCGCCGAGCACTCCATCTCGGATGGAACCATGGAATTCCGTATTTCGATACGCTATGAGAAAGTTGGTGCTGTGTAGTTAACACGGGGATTAAAGCGATCAATATTCAGTGTGAAACATCAGATATGGATTAGAGGTATTCGAAGGGCAATAGCTGCAAGATAATCCTAAAAACCATAGGTTTAGGATCATTATGACGGTTTCTTCCCTCGAACATATTTAAATCGATATCCGAAGCGGGCATAATTATCTAAAAAAATGGAAATAATAAAAATCGTAAAGGTCTGATGTTATTAAAGAAGATAGATCCATTGAGATGAACTGACGGTGGGTTGATAAAAATCGTGCTTTTATCCCAATATGGCAGGTAAAGACCGCTATTATCCCGACATGCTGGCCATATGGTGCCTTCGTGTCCGTCTAAGGCCACATAGAACACAGTAAGATAGATAAGCGGCAGTGTCTCGTGGCGGGTCGCCGTCAGCGGGTTCCAGCGAGTCTGTTCGTCCTCCAGTGGAATGAGGAGTAGGATGAGGCTCGTTCACCCACCTTCCTTGCCATCCTGGCCCGCGCGGGACTGGTCTGGATCTCGGCCTTCACATCGGAGCTGACCTGGCGCGGCGGACCGAGTCGCCACCGTGCGGCCGCAGCCCTGACCCGGTGACCTGACCTGACCTCGACCATCGGCAGCCGACACTGCGTCCGCCGCCCCACCCGGTACCTCTGTATCGCGCGCTAACCCGGCTCAGACGGCACGGCCACACGACACACCCTCCCCCTGCAGCGACCTCGGCACTCACTGCCGTCGGACCCAGCCTCCGCCGCCTCCGCTCCGCCGCCGCCGCTCTGACGTCACACCAAATGACGTCACAGGCCCGATCTCAGCCCGGAACGGAAGGCGGCGACTATCAAAGGGCACGGAAGGACCGGATGGCGCCGCGCTTCTTGGAGCGCCAGCCGCGGCCTCTGCACATTGGGGAGCCGTCAATGTGCTGATGGGTCGTCACCGCCCGGGCTGCTGGATGGGTTCCAGGGCTGTCATACCGTTAGAAAGGGGAGCGTCCGGTGCTCATGGGTGGCGTGCAAACAAATGAGATACCATCCGCCCTCTCTATCGCCGGGACTAACCCATCCATATCCCTGATCACACTGCTCTGTTCCGGCCAGACGGTCACAACACCAGTCACAGCCGTGGAGGGCGGTCTGAAGGGGGGGGGGCGTACTCCTCCATGGTAACTGTGTGTCCGTCTCCTCCAAGGATAGAGCAGTTTTTTAATGTCTATTTCAAGTTTCAACTATCTTCACGAGTCATGAACTGGTACCTAGCTGAAATAGTTGAAGTTTCAAACTGCAAAACGTGCAGCAGTTATGATAAATAAACCTTTTTTGTCGATGGGCGAGCCAATAAAACTAAAACGTTACGAAACGTTGTAACTTGCATGTCATGTGACTATAGCATTGTTATTCACAGCGAAGTACAAGGAAAAAATTAACTATGCAAAACAAGGCGCATAACTCATCCTTAGGCCTCTATCATTAGCCCTCGCCCTGGCAGGGGGTGTCGATGCGACCCCCCCCCCCCCTAAGGTTTTTCGAAGATAGCGTAAAAACGGCGAAGTTGGCACAGTCTATTGGGCAACCTTTTTACATATGACCTGAAAATTTCAGGTCCGGGTGACCTTGGGTCAGGTCACCAGGTCAGAAAAACCGATACAAGGTCATGGTCAAATTTCAATTTTCTTTTTGCACCTGTCCAACTCACAGTTTTTGACTGATTTCCTTCAAACTTTCAGGGTGTGCTAAGTTCACCGAGTTGTATAACATATAGTTCGGGTTTTTTGATGTCACTGATCTGAGGTCAGTTAGAGGTCATTACGTCATAATGTTAAGCCTATGGGAAAATACTAAATTCGGAAAATACTGGAGATATCCGCTTTGTTCTATCACTTTTGTGCTTTGAAACCACAGTACTTAACAGCAGGTCACTTGGTGCTTCTTTGTTTGGTGTACTTATCCATGGATCAGGTCAAATGAGGTCAACCGAGGTCAAATGACGTTTTTGCCAATAACTTGGCACATAATGCAGCTAGAGCTTACAAAATGGTGTCATTGTGTTCCTTGTGATCAGCCAAATCGAATGATATGCGATATGATGCAATTTGGTGAAGTTGAACTTATTTAATTAATTAAAGTTCACTTAAAATTTAAGAAAAACTTTAAGTACATTTAAGCAAGCTAAAAAATATATCATTCGACGCGCCTTGACGTTCTGAGTTCACTGGTGCTTTTATTTTTGCTCTATCTTAAATAGATCAAAAGTTATAAGCGAAAAACTCTTGACATGTTTTTAGCGAAATTTTTACATTTACACCCCCAAACCCCCTTAAATATTGACCTAGAGCAACTAAATTTGCACAGGGGCGAGAACTCCAGAAGGCCCACCTACCTACCAAATTTGGTGTTTCTAGGTGCCATAGGAGCCAATCGCGAGGGGGGTCGCATCGACCCCCCCCCCCCCTGCCAGGCCGTGTTATGAAAAATGCCCTGCCAGGGCGAGGGTTAGATCGGCGCAGCGGAAAACAACTTTTCCTCAATAAAATGGGAAAGAAATTGACCATTATCATGGCACAAATTATGAACAAATGTTTTATCTTAGCAATTGAAAAGACCAAAATACAGAATGAGCTTTCGTCGCTAAGGCATCATCTTATTTTTGCATCGGAAAAAACAACATCCATTACATTAAATGTTTTCCTAAATAGCTCACAATCCATACGTCCCGGCCCCATGATCCCAAGGCACCCATTGATACGAAGGAAAACAAAGGTAGTGAGTGCATACCTAAAGCAGCAAATAACAGCAGCGGTTCAGCCGGGAAGGCTGTGGTCCATCTTGCCCCGGTGAGCCGACTCTTGGACTTGCCCCACCTTCCCCTAACGACCGCAGATGACAAGCTAGTGTCATAAAAGAGTTAACGCTCATCACTGATTGGAACGATTTCAATTAAATTATTATTTTTACGGCCTTGCGGAAGACCTAAATGCGTCAGCATCATGCTGCGGATGACGGCGAACCAGCCTCGCCGATCGTGGCGCTACCTAGAGTGGCCGCTTTCTCCCGTGTTCGAGACCGGGGGTCTGGTGGCGCTACTGCAGCTACACTGGGGCTGGCACTGGCAACCGCCCACACTGATAACCTTCGCCCCAGTGGGGGATGTCCGTGAAGTTAGCGTCAGCAACAGCAACGAATACAGCGTCGGATTCAGAATCGCTTAAAAAACTCATGTTAGGTCAATTGGGGGACGGGGAGCAAGAATATGACCTTTATTTGGCCCTAGCTCTTACCCCTTACCCCTTAATCGGCCCTTAAAGGACGGGGCGCGTCAAAAGTGCCTCAAGGGTTCGTCTGATCGCCAAAATAAGGGTCGCAATCGATTCCTCGGGTCAATATCTAGCCGCAGCCTCGGGTTCTAGATGTGTGCAATTTACCCCTTACCCCTTAATCGGCCCTTAAAGGACGGGGCGCGTCAAAAGTGCCTCAAGGGTTCGTCTGATCGCCAAAATAAGGGTCGCAATCGATTCCCCGGGTCAATATCTAGCCGCAGCCTTGGGTTCCAGATGTGTGCAACTTACCCCTTACCCCTTAATCGGCCCTTAAAGGAAAGGGCGCGTCAAAACGCCCTCAAGGGTTCGTCTGATCGCCAAAATAAGGGTCGCAATCGATTCCCCGGGTCAATATCTAGCCGCAGCCTCGGGTTCCAGATGTGTGCAACTTACCCCTTACCCCTTAATCGGCCCTTAAAGGAAGGGGCGCGTCAAAAGTGTCTCAAGGGTTCGTCTGATCGCCAAAATAAGGGTCGCAATCGATTCCCCGGGTCAATATCTAGCCGCAGCCTCGGGTTCCAGATGTGTGCAACTTACCCCTTACCCCTTAATCGGCCCTTTAAGGAAGGGGCGCGTCAAAAGTGCCTCAAGGGTTCGTCTGATCGCCAAAATAAGGGTCGCAATCGATTCCCCGGGTCAATATCTAGCCGCAGCCTCGGGTTCAAGATGTCTGCAACTTACCCCTTACCCCTTAATCGGCCCTTAAAGGACGGGGCGCGTCAAAAGTGCCTCAAGGGTTCGTCTGATCGCCAAAATAAGGGTCGCAATCGATTCCCCGGGTCAATATCTAGCCGCAGCATCGGGTTCCAGATGTGTGCAACTTACCCCTTACCCCTTAATCGGCCCTTAAAGGAAGGGCCGCGTCAAAACGCCCTCAAAGGTTCGTCTGATCGCCAAAATAAGGCTCGCAATCGCTTCCCCGGGTCAATATCTAGCCGCAGCCTCGGGTTCCAGGTGTGTGCAACTTACCCCTTACCCCTTAATCGGCTCTTAAAGGAAGGGGCGCGTCAAAACGCCCTCAAAGGTTCGTCTGATCGCCAAAATAAAGGTCGCAATCGATTCCCCGGGTCAATATCTAGCCGCAGCCTCGGGTTCCAGATGTGTGCAACTTACCCCTTACCCCTTAATCGGCCCTTAAAGGACGGGGCGCGTCAAAAGTGCCTCAAGGGTTCGTTTGATCGCCAAAATAAGAGTCGCAATCGATTCCCCGGGTCAATATCTAGCCGCAGCCTCGGGTTCCAGATGTGTGCAACTTACCCCTTACCCCTTAATCGGCCCTTAAAGGAAGGGGCGCGTCAAAAGTGTCTCAAGGGTTCGTCTGATCGCCAAAATAAGGGTCGCAATCAATTCCCCGGGTCAATATCTAGCCGCAGCCTCGGGTTCCAGATGTGTGCAACTTACCCCTTACCCCTTAATCGGCCCTTAAAGGAAGGGGCGCGGCAAAACGCCCTCAAGGGTTCGTCTGATCGCCAAAATAAGGGTCGCAATCGATTCCACGGGTCAATATCTAGCCGCAGCCTCGGGTTCCAGATGTGTGCAACTTACCCATTACCACTTAATCGGCCCTTAAAGGAAGGGGCGCGTCAAAAGTGCCTCAAGGGTTCGTCTGATCGCCAAAATAAGGGTCGCAATCGATTCCCCGGGTCAATATCTAGCCGCAGCCTCGGGTTCCAGATGTGTGCAACTTACCCCTTACCCCTTAATCGGCCCTTAAAGGAAGGGGCGCGTCAAAAGTGCCTCAAGGGTTCGTCTGATCGCCAAAATAAGGGTCGCAATCGATTCCCCGGGTCAATATCTAGCCGCAGCGTCGGGTTCCAGATGTGTGCAACTTACCCCTTACCCCTTAATCGGCCCTTAACCCTCGCCGGCCGAGGGGGGGGGGCGGGTGCCGCCCCCCCCCATAGGGTTTTCTCGCGATAGCTCCGAACACGCTGGCGATAGAGAGCTGAAACTTGGCAAACCTGACCTTTGATTCAAGCCGCATCTTTTGACACCAACCGCATTTTTGGGTCAGGTCAGGTCACTGACCTATGACGTCATAAGTGAACCTCTGCACGGTCTTCAGATGTCGCAACTTCGCAACGCCCTCACTGCCAGAGGAGATGTCACAGGGAAATGAAACTTGCAGGATCTAGTATCCATTATGAGTCTCACAACTTGTATATCTCGGATTTTTCCTAAAGGTCATATGAGGTCAGGTCATTTTCGTGACCTCACCATTATAAGTCAATGGGGAAAAATTCAAACTGCTATTCTGGCGCCGGGAACGATCTCCAACTATCTCAAGCACACAGAATCGTGATTTTATGCACTCCTTGCAAGGTTAGATGCGTCACTTTTGCAATGTTGACCTTGCGTGACGTCATTTATGACGTCATCAAGGTCATATTAGTTTTTCGTCAATAACTCTTGATCAAATTG